TCCACAGGTGTGCCACCACTTTACTCACATGGACTCTACTAACCAATCAGAAGCTTCTTCAGCTCAGAATGGAATCGTCTGGAGTTTTCTTATTAATTAACAAACTTAGTGTATATGTACTCCTAAATTTAATGAAAGTGATAATAAATAGACAGCTCTGTCTCTCTTTATTCTGACATTTAGCTAATTCAAAAGATATTTCAATATTTATTTAACCAAAACAAAACAAGTTTACTCTAAATTGATGATGTACAGTAAAAAAATGTTCTTGTGTTTTCCATAAAGTGTATGTAAATATCTGGTTTAAACTGTGAATATACTGCTGTGTATTCAAATTCCTCTTGTTTTGCACAGAAATATACTGAACAACATCCAAAGCATAATATATAAAATACTACCAGAGTTTTTTCTTTGAAAGAAGCCCCTTATGTCCATTCTTGTATATCAGTACATTACTGAAATCGATTTATAGCCGTGGAGGGTAACAACTGAAAATATGAAATAAACACACATGTAAGCTAAGACTCTCTAAAGAAACAGCATTGTTGTTGTTCGGCTTTTCATTTCGCCATTTGTTGATTCACTTGAAGAGCAAGTAACGTAATATTGGTCAAGTGATCAGTTGGATATCAATCTTTCGTGATACACCGTCATATTTACATTATTTGTACAGTACGAATGATTTTCTTTGGTACCTGGTCGAACTTCAGTTCTCCTCTGTCTGCCTGGCTGCGTTTCTCTAACAGCGCACTCGCAGGCAGCAGCTGCCCCGCCCTGCTTAGTGTCTGAGCTCGAATCATACCAATATTAGGGGGGATTTGCGCACAGTCATAAATTCCCACAGTGTGCACTATGTGCTTCGAATATTGTGTGTAGTTTTTGTTTTATACAGTGTCAGCCAGGCATCTAACTATGAAAAAATTACACTCCAAAAGACCCTGGGCTTTCTGAAAAATCAACCCGGGCTTAAGCCCAGTAAGCCACCCCCACGCTCCGCCCCTGGTGTACACTAATGCTTGAATACCACTTTTCTGACCTAAAACGTGTACCAGATGTACCAGTAATACATTTATAGATGCAGCCAAAGTCCCATGTTTTTAATGAATCTGATCTGAGAAAGGTGCAGAATCCTCTTTAACATTTATTGTGGACTATTTAAAAGTTCAAAACTAGTTAAAATAAATGTTTCAACTTTTTTGCAAACATTGCATGTTAAACATAAAGTCTGTAATGAAAGCACTTTTTTAGTAAAAAAAAAAAACCTCTGCCAATGGCAAGATCATCAACTCAATGAGCGGGTGGAGGGAGGTTTGGAGTCTTCTCCCACCCCCATTCTCTGCGGCCTGCTGGAGCGGGGGGGCTAGGAGGAGTTGGCCGTCCGACTGCGGTCTGGAGTGTGGGGCCTCCCTGCTGCTACGGAGTCGGGGCGGTCTGCCTCTCCCCACCGCAGGGAAAAGGGTAACACCACCTGGGTCTGGGTGCAGTTCCCCCTCCAGGGGCAAGGGTAACTAGACCCGGTTTGTAGAGTACGCTTGGGGAGTGTGATCGTATGTACAGCGTCTCTTTATGTCTGTCTCCACGTTGGTTGAGTGTGGAGTGAGTGCATATGAGAGCATGAGGGGGGAATGGATGTTTGTGTCTGTGTGTGCCTGTATGTCTGTGTCTATATGTCAGGTTGGGTATCAGACACCACCTCTCTGGGGACACCTCAGGCCCTCCAAGGTTTGGAGGCCTATCTCCACCCCTCCACCACTTCCCCTGCCGGTGGCGGACTCCCTCAGGTGTCGGTGCGTTGGTGGTTCTTTGTGTCTGGGGGTGGGCGTCCAGGTACACACCGGCTCACTCCTTGGCGGCCGCTTATCGGGGCCTGGAACCTGGGGCTCGCTCGGGCCACTTCGGAGGTGGGGTGCCCCCGGCCTCTCAGCCTGGGGCTCGGTCACTCAGGCACAGCTGGCTGCCGGCGGAGCTCACGGGCGCGTCACTGCAACTCCCCCTGGCTTCTGCTCCGCGGCAGCTGAGTGAGCCCTCATCTGGGACTCTCCTCAGCTCTTGCTGGGACAGTGGCGCGGCTGCCCCTCTGTTGGTCTTCTATGGTCTCTTGTGTTCTGGGGGCCTCTGGATGTCTGGAGTTTTGATCTCCTCCATACCTGCTTCATACCCTGGAGGACAGGGCTGTGGCCCCCCCACACTCCCTAGCAGATCGTTACATGGAGAAACCTTTGGAATACAAGCGCGCTGATCCACACAGGTATGCACACGGGTGTTCACTGCTCGTAGACTTAAATTACACCTTTCTTGGCTACTACTTCGAAGCACATCTGTCCTGCGTACTGCACAACAACATTGAATATTTAGTATTTACTGCTGTTTACACTTAGCTAGATTAATGCGATGGTGTTGTGTTTAGTATGTTGCTTTGTTTTTTTTTGTTTTTTTGCTTGTTTTCTATTCTTCTCTCAACAGGTGATCCAGGAGATTCTTATTTTTTTCTCCCCCCCTTTCTCACTGTCCCTCTCCCCTTCTGTTTTTCCTTTCCTTCCTCTTTCTTTCTCCCTTTCCTATCCCTCACTCATGTCTGTCCCATCTGTAACATCTGAAAATAAAATATAATAAATAATAAAAACAAAGATCGACCAAATGGACCAATACGGCAATGCCACGATGATCCATTTGGCAAAGTAAATCCATTGGGTATCCTTGTTGGTCTTCAGACAACAATTCTGATGGCTAAAGAACCAAATGGGACAGGCAAAAAAAAAAAAAAAAAGATCATCAACTCAATAGGATAAAGCAAAATATGTTATTTATTTAAAGCTTAAATCATAAGAACATTAGGCCACAAAATAAACACAAACATGCAAAGTCAAACATGCAGTATCGAGACAGTACTACAAAGCCCAAACATCTGCCATCACCACTACTGTGTCTGTGCACTGAGGCCTTATAGAAATTACATTCCAATAGAAAAAGTAAGAATAAAAACAGCTGTTTATGAAAAGAAAATACTTTCATGGTCTTTTCAGTGGGACCTCTGGGTGGTACAGCATAGTAGCATTCATGGCATTGGCAACTCAGTGGTTAACATTCACTAGCTTTAGCTATCAAAATAAATTATGCCATTTACAGTATATGCATACATTTGATTATGTGGGTCAAGGTCAAACATTTTTTAAATTATGTATTATAATTTGTTTCAGTGCAAGAAAATAGCTTAAAAATAAAAAATGAGCCATATGCTAATATTTTATGAAGCTACATTTTATAGTGCTGTAAGAAGTCAGCAACTGTTGATTCCATGCTAACAAGAATCAAGAAGAAACTTAAGTTTTTTTTTTTTTTTAGACTTCTGAAGTTAATAGTTTCATCGTATTATTGCATACACTGTATACTTAAATACAACTGGGCTGTGTCACAGTAGTAATAACTGTCTTAAGTTATGTGAGTGAGTACAATGTGAAACTCAGTAAATATTTCAGTAAAAAGCTACAATGTTCTCAGTGATTTCAAAAATTTTACTTAGTCATCTCAGTGAACAGATTTTCTGAGAGTGGAGGAATGGCAGGGTTTGACTAGTTATGTGCAGAGTCACATGTAACTGATGCTGCAGTTTTAGTAATATTATGTATGTAATTATTTTAAATGCATAAGTAAGCAGTGTTAAGGCAAGGCAAGGCAAGGCAAGTTTATTTGTATAGCACAATTCAACAACAAGGTGATTCAAAGTGCTTTACAGAGACATTAGAAACAAGAACAAATAAAAAGCATGATTTAAAATTGATTAAAACAAGCAAATAAACTAACTAACTAATTAACAAACAAACAAACAAACAAACAAAACAGTATATAAAATCAAAACAGATAAAATCAGAACAGTAGATAAAATCAGTAGTTAAATGTAAGTTTTGAAATTTAAGCTTAAAGTGTGGATTTGGTGCTTTATTCAAATGCAGCTGAGAACAGGTGAGTCTTCAACCTGGATTTAAATAAACTGAGTGTTTCAGCTGATCTGAGGCTTTCTGGGAGTTTGTTCCAGATATAAGGAGCATAAAAGCTGAATGCAGCTTCTCCGTGTCTGGTTCTGACTCTGGGAACTGATAAAAGACCGGATCCAGATGACCTGAGGGATCTGGATGGTTCATACTGGGTCAGGAGGTCATTGATGTATTTTGGTCCTAAACCATTCAGAGCTTTATAGGCCAGCATCAGAACTTTAAAGTCTATCCTCTGACGGACAGGCAGCCAGTGTAAGGACCTCAGAGCTGGACTGATGTGGTCCACTTTTTTGGTCTTAGTGAGGACTCGAGCAGCAGAGTTCTGAATGAGCTGTAGTTGTCTGACTGATTTTTTAGGTAGACCTGTAAAGATGCTGTTACAGTAATCAAGCCTACTAAAGATGAATGCATGGACTAGTTTTTCCAGGTCCTGTTGAGACATCAGATCTTTTATCCTTGATATATTCTTGAGGTGATAGTAAGCTGACTTTGTTATTGTCTTAATGTGTTTTTCTAAGTTTAGGTCTGCATCCATCACTACACCCAAATTTCTCGCCTGGTTTGTGGTTTTTAGATGTATAGATTGAAGTTCTCTGGTGACCTGTAATCGTTTTTCTTTGGCGCCAAAGACTATTACCTCAGTTTTGTTTTTGTTTAGCTGGAGAAAATTGTGGCACAACCAGTCATTGATTTCCTCAATGCATTTACCAAGAGCCTGTACAGGGCCTCGGTCTCCTGGTGACATTGTGATATATATTTGTGTGTCATCTGCATAGCTGTGATAGTTTATTTTGTTGTTGTTTATAATCTGTGCCAGTGGGAGCATGTAGATGTTAAACAGAAGGGGTCCCAAGATGGAACCTTGGGGAACTCCACATGTGATACTTGTCTGCTCAGATGTGAAGTTACCTATTGATACAAAGTATTTCCTGTTTTCTACGTATGTTTTGAACCAGTTTAGTACAGTTCCTGAAAGACCTGTCCAGTTAAGTGTAACAATTTAAAAATAATGCATTCTGTAATGGCATTTTTCTGTAATGCATTACTGTTTCTAAATCAGGTAAAGACATTACGGTTACAGACGGTACATAAGGAGTTTTTTGATTTAATTGTGAGAATCAACCATTACTAATGGCTCTAATAATACACAAAAAACAAAGGACAGATTAGGTATGTCTTTTTAGGATAGCATCACTATTGCTAACAGACCAATGTATAACAATGCAGTAATATGTAATACATTCAAGAGAGTGAAAAACCCAATATTGCAAGCACAAAATAAAAATACAAAATTAGTACTTTGTCAGAGAATAGAGTAACTCATCAGGACTGCCCATGTATAAATCAGCCAATGGTGACCTAAGGTGAACATTTGGAAATAATGAAATGGAGTGACTGAAGAACAGAGTCATGATTGAAATCAGTGAAAACATTAACTTTGTTAAAGAAGTAGGTCTTCCCAAGAACCAGTTTAGGGAAGCTGCAGCGATCATCTGTTTCCAGGACGTAAGGAAAAGGCAGAGCTTCGGCCTCCATACCATGAACCGTCAGCACATTCCCAAACACAACGCTCTGCTGAGACACACTTTCCACAGTCCCAATGTGCACTAAACAAAGATACATAAAGCCATGGCATTACAAACCAAAACATCAGCATTTTTTATGTTAAAAAAAGACTTACTTTTTTGGCAAAGATCTGTTTTGTTCAGGTTATTCACAGATAGGACTCTGGATTCTGAAAACAACATTATACATGTTATTGGTAAAATGCAGGATCTGGGCTTTGCCATCAAATTAAAATGACGTCAAATGAAGTTCTACTGCATGGAAAGGACATCTAAGCAGACAAAACAAACCATTAATCATCTTTCTTTGACCCTGTCCTGGTTCATGGATTGATCTCAGCCTCCCAGCACAGCATGACCACAGGGTGGTGTTGTAATAGAGGTGACCACAGCATCTAAACCCTGTCTTGGCAGAGTAGATCACCTCTTCCTCCTCACTTGAGCAGCAAATGTCCTGGTAGTGAAAAGAGATGTTAGTTAAGTTTCTAAAGACAGGTGTAATATTCCTTATGCTGAAGGTATTCTGACTGTCAGATATACACTAAATATATCACTAAATATAAAAAATGTTTTAGTATTGGTCTTACTGGGGCCTTGGCAGCAACTGCATAGTTTGGCTTGCAAAGCCTAATAATGATGGTTTGGTTATATTGAATTATAAATTGTTGTGTTTAGGTTCAGACTGGAGATCCTCCTCTTTTTTGAAATGATCTGTAAAGGATTCTTCGGACTGACTTTTATAAAGTACAGTAATCTTCTCCTGGATGCATTTATCAACTATTTGTGTGACAGCCGGACAAGCTGTGTCCATGAAAGCAGCCTTGGGAGCCAATGCATTACAAGGTGTTGTTTTCCTTCACTGTAGAGTAGGCATATATTCTAGATTTAATGCTTAACTGGTTATTGAGAGGTGTCACAAGTAAGAAAGGAAATTCAAAATGCTTTTGGAGAAAAAAAAAAGAGAAGAAAAAACAAAGTGTCAAAATTAAAGACTGCAGTGCAGAGAACGGCTCAGTGACAGATTCTCAGTGGCTTCTGAACCTCACAGATCCCCTGATAATGATGAGAGGGTGTGAAAAACTGATGGATGGACGGTGGGGCATGGAAATGAGAACAAACAAGCATGTGAGCCATTTATAGAGATATAACCTGAAGTGGAGTGTGTGACGTGTCGTCCTGCCCCTGAAATTCATATAGTTTATCTCAAATAAGTTCTCATGGCATGAATAGGATGCACGAGAAATGGTCAGATAACATGATAATTATATTATATACATCATTACTGATAAACTACCTGTGGCTCTTGCAGAGTGGATCCGCAGCACTGCAGGTCCCCTCCATGCTTATGTAATGATGTCAGCGTGTACAGTGTTCCTGCACAGCACTTCATCTGTGGATCTTTAATGTTGTAGGCTTTGACCCCACAGCAGTGAATGTTTTCTGATTTGGGATGTCTGGTTGGAAAACAGAGGGACACATTAATATCAAATGAAGCTTATGCATAAGTTAAATAATGAAGATCTGCAATTACAACATTTCTCTGGTTTTCTGGGTGTTTGCCTGCTAGTCAATTCTTTGCATGACTTCCAATTTCCCACGCTGTCAAATTCAATACTGACATCATTACACTAGTCCAGTGTTCTTCTTACCCGCCTTCTTTGAGCCAATCAGACTCCACCCTGTGTGCTTTAAATCTGTGGGCTTTTCCATTATTTTCCTTTCCAGGAACCCATCTCTGTGTCCCTCAAGTCACTTAAAGCTCCGTCCAAGCCTCTATCTTCACCATAATTCCATTCTGCCATCATGTGTCATCAGAGACTAATCAAAAGGATCAATTAATTTCTGTAGCTTAGTAAATCATATTCAAGTCTTCTGAATGATCATTCCTCATTGAAATAAGGAGTGCAAGATAAGTTTATAAGAGGCTGAGTGAGACATGTCCTTATGTATATTGTTGGATGTCAGCCTGGAAGATATTTATCCACTTCTTCAACACAGTTATTACACAGGCTGTACACTGAAAGCAGAGAATCAGAACTGCAGCTTCAGCTCTCACTGTTCACACATAATATATTCATACTCAGTGTTGCTGTCATCACCCACTCTGACAGACTCTGCAGTTGAAAATACGCTTAATGAGAGCATTCAGGATACAACCTGCTCCACCAATACTAAAACTGAGACCGAAAGAAAAGTAGCTGCCACAAATGTTTTCAGGCCATAGAATATCCAGACTATTGAATGATGCAAACACAGACAGTTTAACTGCAAACTTTAACCCATATGGCACCAAACCGAGTCAGAAACCACATGGACCGATACAGAAGAATGCTTTATCACTTCTGCTTGTTTTCTTTTTTCTTTCTCAGCAGGTGATCCAGGTGATTGATATATGCATTTTTTTTTCTCTGCCCGTTCTGTTGGTTTATGTTTTTTGCCCTTCTCCCCCGTCCCTCTTCTCAGCTGTTTCTCTTTCCCTCTTTCTTTCTCCCCTTCTTTCCCCCAGTCAAGTCTATCCCGTATTCAGTAAGTGAAAATAAAATAAACAATAAAAGGTGAATCAAATGGACCATTACGGCAAGGCTGGGATGGTCAATTTGGTAAAGTAAATCCGTTGGGCATCTTTCTTTGCCTTTAGACAACAATTCTGATGGCAAAAGAGCCAAACGGGACAGGCAAAAAGAAAAGAAAAAAAGAATGCTTTATCACATTAGACCAGAGCACAACGGTGCCTGAAAGTAAACAAAGGTGGGACAGTGTTATGCACAGCTGGAATTTCGATAAAGAAAAGACCTTCTACTGGAATGCAAGACATTTCCTTTGCCTCTCCCTTCTGGGTTTCCCCTCAACCAGCACAAGATGCATTAAAATTAACTGCCCACTGACCTAAAATCAAACACTGTTACATACCAAGCTGATGAATAAGGAATGGGAAAAAAACCCATCCCTTTTCACTAGATTTTATCAGCAACACACACACACACACACACACACACACACACACACACACACACACAATCACCTGTGTCCATTGCAGCAAATCTCAACATCAGGCCGGTAAATTTCTGTCCCACAGCAGTGTTGTCCTGGGCTGCCGTGAAACTGAGAACAACATATAGTCCCTTTGGCCGGGTTGTAAGGAATACCCATCTCTGAACATTCCTGTCCATCGACTCTGTCCTCGTACAAGGTGTTATTACAACAGAGAACTCCACATTGTCCCGAGCCGTACGGCGTCTCTCCACAGCACTTGAAGAATCAGAGATAATACAGTAAATTGTTCAGAAATGCCTTTTGGCCCTTTTGCATTAGTAGTAGCGAATACTGAGGCCGTTCGATGAGTTTTAGACAGATCGAAAAACACCCTCAGTTATTGTATAAAAGGAGCGGGGTGGAGCTCTGAGCTCTCTCATCAAAGGGTCAGTAAAGCAGAATTTTTTCCTAGAATCTCTCTTTTCCACTGCTGTCAGCTCTACATCCTAATTAGGATGTGACACAACACATTTCATTTAATAATGAAATGTGTTGCCCATCATTTTACCCATTAACAATCTTATTAAAAATTCTTCCAAAATTCTCCTAATACATAGATATAATTTTTTTTTTATTATTTGAAAGAAAACGTTGCTTTAAGTCTATCACTGTCATTGGAAAAGGATTTTTTTTTCCCCCAGAGACACAAATTAAAACTTTTGACCTTTCTATTATAACTAAAAATGAGGCCCAGAGACAGAACAACAAAACAAACAAGACAAGGAAAAACAATTTGATTATTACCTGATCCATCCAAGGCTTCCACGCAGAGATACATCCATCACAGCAGACTTGTATGTGTGGATTATACACAGTGGGTGTTGCCTTGATTTGACCTAAACATAGAGGTGTGAGGGTTGGAAGGGTGGAGAGAGGACAGGAGTTAGAAACTTCTCATGCTTGTAAAGTATCGTATGTCTCTAAAGCTGGCGCTTGGTAAGGAAATCAATGAAGACTCTCTTCCACACTTTCTTTGGAAGTTCCTGAAATGTATAATTTACTGGTTTGCATTGTTGGATGAAATTGTGCAAAAGCTTCAAACTCACAGTGCAGTTTCCTGCAGTGCTTTCCCACATACACAGGTGATTCTGAACATTTTGATTGGTCGAAATATGAAGTTTTATGCTAAGATGATACCGGTGGATGCATCTGTACACCACCAAGCAAAACAAGCTTCAACTTGCTGCACAATCAATTGTGTTGCAGAATCTTTGCTATGTCGGCTTCAGCCCTGGTAAGCAACAGCAGGCAAATGATTTCGTTGTTGCTTCCTCCCAAAGCTTCTGGGCTCTGCCTCTTCTCCCATACAATCCCCTTGACTGCTAGCTCCTTAATTACTGCACCACAAAACAATATCTGCCGTCCAATAAATATCAGACTTCTGAGGAGCCTGAAATAAATCAGAAACCATAACGCTGGCAAACATTTACAAACAGCTGCAGAACAATTCCATATCAAAGTTACCCAGGTCTGCTGCTGTAATGGTACTTGCCCAGTTCTTACTGAAACTAACATTTTCCCTATGTATTGACTGACGACAACTCTATGAAGGAAAAATTAAAAGCACTAGACAGAAAGTTTGGGCAAATTATACATTTTAGCTGGAAGGGTGCTGACCCCGTGAAGCGGCCTTGGATTGGGGTAGAAAGTGGATAAACGGATGGATTTATGGATGGCTGGGAATAAATACAACAATCAAGTTTTTCCCCTTCCTCCTCTGCCATATACCACTCAGAAGAAGTCATTCTTTGGCAAAACATCAAATGCACTGTGTTACTTTGGAAGTTAACGCACAATCGATTATTCAGAATCTCTTTAATCATCACAACTGAAAACATCCTTAGCTGAAATATTGCTGGAAGCAGAAGAAGTGCTGCAGGCCTGACTGGACGCAGGAGTAAACTGATTGTAGGACTGACTTTAATGGTGAAACAAAAACAGCTGCTGCTAATCTGTAGGAATGATGAGCTCTGAAAGACAGGAAGTCACTTTAATGAACATATCTACAGAGAAAGCCAACATCGTTCTGTCCACAATGACAACAGTGTGGATTTGCCCAATTACAGAGAAGCAGATTATTTTCCTGTATTTCTGTCACACCTGGGACAAAAACACGAGACAGCTGGGAAATCTGTGAGACTAACATTAGGAATGGAAGTAGGGCTGCGTCTTCCTTTTCATTTCTTGGCCTATTAATTTGAACATGCACAATGAATCACTGACGCGATATATAATGTAAAACTCTATTGCCAGCTTATTAATTTAAACATGAACAATGAACAGTGAAGCACTACATTAAACTGTATAAAGGCTGACGCATGGCATACGCAATGTTTGTGAGGTGCATTTCATTCCAGATACCTATCTGGCATTTAGACGGCACCCGTTAAAAAACACCAAGTCCTAGATCTCATTACTGAGTGGAAGAAATGGGTTCTCATTTTAATGTGCAAATGAAGGAAAAAAAAAGAAAAAAAAAAAAGAAACTTCTCATAAATGCTGAACTCAGTTACATCAGGAAAGACATAACAGGGGAAAAAAAGGATCTGAGAAAGGAAAGAAAATAACATTTACTCAGAGCATGGAACATGTTTGAGAAAATATTAGTCAGGGTGTTCCCTTGCAACTATAGCTTCACATTATGTTTTTCCAAATATAAAACTGTCATGTTCCATGGCCGTGTCTGGGATTTTCCAGCCGGTGTTGTTGGGTTTCCAGGGTCATTCACTATTAGTGACTCTCTGTGATTAATTATTCTCTCCCAGTGGCTCTCCAGCAATTTCCTAATGTTGTAAACCCGCTCAACATTTGGCAATAAAACCCTTTCTGATTCTGATTCTGATTCCATGATAGTCTGCTCTCAGCTGGTGTATATTCATGTTTACCTCACTCTTCTTCTGCTGTGTAAATAAAGTCTTGTGAAAAGTTAAGTTGGGTTTGAGTCTACATAGGGTCCATATCTTGCATGAACATCTGGTTCATGACACAAAACCCTCTTTAATGCACACATTTAACTAAAAATGAGCATATAGGATTTTACAAATACAAATAGAAGACAAGATAGTATTTCTTTGTTTCATCATTTGATAAACTCCCAAGGCATTATTCTCAGTTTTAGAAAGAGTTAGTTTAGTATTACAGTATATAAAATGATATTACTAGGGGCATATTTTGTCTTCACACTTTATTACTTGAAGAGTTTTCCACAGTGAGCTAACATCACAAGAACAAATGGCACAATGTGCTCTGTAGGGGAAATTTATGCTGAAAACAACTCTTTGTTTTTACACCAGTAGAGCAAAATAAACTGCTCACTAAGTTCTAACTGCTTTGTTGGAGTTTGGGCTGTGATCCAGTTCCACTTTCTCTTCCAAAAGCTGCAAAGTTAGAACCACAGGGTTATGTAATTTTTACGTGATAGTAACTGACACGACAGCTGCAAAACCAAAACAAACAGACAGTGATACCTGAGGTACAGAACCAGTGAGGCTTTTGGTTTCTTTCACAGCAGTGGTACTCTTTTGGATTGTAGCATGATGACCGACAGAGATGTGTGTTTGGTTCAGTGCTGCGGATATGCAAAAACAGGTAAAAATAAACAAAAACACAAAAACAGTCAACATCGCATAAATACTATGCTAAGTTTTCAAAGCCTCTCACAGATATACACAAGGTGTCATGTGGCATCTATGCCATTGTCACTGTCGTGGGTCTGTGACCCAGTGTTTTTAAGTTTTATTCATTGAATTATTGTTTTCTGTTGTATTATATTTAGCCCTCCGGATTTCTGTTCCTGTGCCTCACCTCGCCTCGTCTCATGTTTCCATGTCTAAGTGTCGAATCTGCGTCTCCGTGTCTCTCTTCTATTTACTTTTTTACTAATGACAGTCTGTGTCTTGTGTCACTATCTTCAGTTTTGGTCTCCTCCCCACCTCGTTACGTCCCAGCTGTGTTCTCGCCTGCTCCCCATCCTCTCATCACTTTAAAATTTGCAGGAAATTGCAAAGATGTATTTTAACCCCAAACCTAACCAAATAGTTTCAGTGCCTAAAAGGACTTAAATTCCTAACCTATGAAAAGTGCCTCATAAACAGATTAAAGCCATTTTTAATATTAAAGCATTAAGTCATAAATGTCATAAATATCATTGTTGACAAAAATAAAGCTGTGATATGCTGGTGACCTGTCAGTTGATGTCTGAGATGCACTACATCGACCCCGCAGCCCCAGATACACTAGCAGTCAAAAGTTTGGACACACCTTCTCATTTAATGTTTTTTTTTTTTAATTTGCATGAGTTACGTTGTAGATTCTCACTGAAGGCATCAAAACTATGTATCAACCAGTGATAGGAATAACTGCATTACAAGTAACGGCGTTACTAACGGTGTTGCTTTTTTCAGTAACGAGTAATCTAACTAATTACTATTTCTATCGTTACAATGCCGTTACCGTTACTAACAAGAAAATACGGTGCGGTCGCGTTACTGTTTTTCAACAAACAGACGGCTGAAGCTGTGTTCAGCTTATCGCATCTTATATCATTTGTAAGGAAGTAGCTGTAAATAAGCTGGGCTCCACAGCTTTAAGCAGCTCTGCGGGCTCCCGCGGGCCACAGTCACTTTCTGGCACAACACCTGTAGCTAGGGGGCAAGACAATCGCATGAGTGCTGCTGTTTGACTGAGGAAGAATAAAGTAGTCGTGGTAAGCCAATCACATGATCACTTCAAGATGACAAAGCAAAAAGGTGATATATAGCAGTTTTTAAATTGTGTTGTCATGTTTACTGTCTAAGGTCAGCGCTAGCAAGCACTCTCTGCTTATGACCCCAAAAAATGACCAATCAAAAATGATATGGCAACATGATATTTGGTTGTTTAGGAAGAGGGGGAAGTTTTAGACCGAAAGAGAGAGAGAGAGAGAGAGAGAGAGAGAGGCAGCAGAAAAAGAGAGAGAGTGAGTTTTGAGATGTGAGAGATTTGCGACATTTAGCGTGGTTGGAGTGTGCAGTTAGTGTGTGGTGTTGTGGATTGCTTTGTGTTGTGTGTCAGAACAGTAAGGCGATTGCTGTCTCCAGGTAGAGAAGAGGAGTGATACACCTGCTGCTGTCAGACCTACAGGCATCAGGCTGTGATGTTCTCCTTTATATAGTGGACAGAAATTTTTGAAGTGGCACAAATAATTTGTGGCATCTTACTGAATGCAGAACACCTGATTGTTATGTAAATAGTTTGAAATGGTTATTTAATGGTACATTTCAAATTCCTTTAATTTTAAATATGTTTATATTGTCTATCCTGTAAAATAGTCAAATGCCTATTCTTATTAATGTACAGAATTCACCTGCTTGCTGCTACTACTGCACATTCACCCAATGTATATACTATATATATGTATATATATATATATATATATATATATGATGTTCTTCCTCTACAGCCCCCCCCCCCCTATTTTTGCACATGTCGAGGAGCGTGTCAGGCTACATTTCACTGTGTGTTATACTTGTATAACTATGCACTTTTAACCGGATTATTCGTCCAGAATTGCTGTGCGTTGCTGACCTACAGCAGACAAGAGCTTCTGGACATCTGGACTCACAACTCCAACAGTTTTATCGCCGATCTCCGACTCATCCCAGAGATCTCCAGAACACCGGAGGCTGCCCACTCTCCCCGGCTGGGCGGAAGTGCACGCAGACGGCGCCGAGATCGTAAACAAAGGCGAGGTAGGCGCGGAGGGCTACGGGCTAAGCTAAAGCTAACACCACACCGGCTGCCTTTACCCAGTATTTTTCTCGCCAATGTCC